ACCTTCTCTAACTTTGCCTCTGTACTGGTGGGAACAAGTGGGCACTAGAATGCTGTTCCTCCTGTGGGCACTCCATTTGGGGCATGTCTGCTTTCAAAACTGAATTCTGATGCTGTCCTTTCTCTCTGGGCTTCTTGCTGCTTTGTATGCTCTGACCACCCCAGGTCCACCCCTTATGTCCCCACAGCACTGTCACCTGACACTCTTGGTTGCTGACTATTCCCCTCCAACCCCAGAAAAATCTACTTTTCAGAACATCAGTCCTGTCACTTCTACCACATTCCTTATTATTCCTTATTACTTCTACCACCCACCTTATTACTAAGTCTCATTTTCATGTTTGGAATATGGATATTTTTTATACTTGTACAGGTTGAGCATCCCTCACCAGAAATGTTTCTAAACTTTTTTGTTTAGAATGTTTCTAAACATTTTTTTTAGTTTTCTTTCTTTCTTTTTCTTTTTCTTTTTTTCCCAAGTGCTAACGTGAAGCTGAAAAAGTTTTGGGTTTTTGGAGCATTTCAAATTTCACATTTTCTAATTAGGGATGCTCAACTGGTGAGGTCTATGCCAACATTCCAAAATCTGGGGTGGTGGTGGTGGTGGTGGTGGAAACAACTCAGATCTGAAACTCTTGCTCATAAGCATTTTGGATAAGTGATACTCAACCTGTAGAATGTTAGTACAATATAGATACCATGTTATAGTGTAGACAATATCGTTAATAATACCTCAAGGGTAGGGCTCAAATTTGTTTCTATTAACTTTGTTTTTTACGTTATCAAGAGACATTTACTAGCCAGATGCAGTGGTGCACGCCTGTAATTCCAGTGCTCAGGAGGCTAAGGCAGGAAGATCAAAAGTTCAAAGCCATGGGCTGGGGATGTAGCTCAAGCGGTAGTGCGCTGTGCTCGCCTGGCATTCGTGCGGCCTGGGTTTGATCCTCAGCACCACATACAAACAAAGATGTTGTGTCCGCCGAAAACTAAAAAATAAATAAATATTAAAATTCTCTCTCTCTCTCTCTTTATAAAAAAACAAACAAAAAACAAAGCCTCAGCAAATTAGTGAGACTCTAAGCAGCTTTGCAAGATCTTGTTTCAGAATAAAAAATGAAAAGGGCTGGGGGTGTGGCTCTGTGGTTAAGCGCCCCTGGGTTCAATCCCTAGTGGCCGTGGGGGGGGATGACAATAACTGGCCTAGTGTGCTGGGTTCTTTGATTTCCTGAGTCTTCTTTTTTTCTATTATCAGCAGTCTCTTTGCAGTTGTTTTAGAACATGTTTTCTGACTGAGATTCTCAGACCAGTTGGATAGTGGCATTTTACTAAAATAAAGCAGAATAGAATAGAGATTATTGAAACTTGCAACTCTCCTAAAGCCCCATTATCAGTAAAGTGTTAAAGCCTCAGTGGCCCTATTGCCCTGGGCTGGCGAAGGCCCTCATGGCTTGGCCTATAAAGGGCCCTCATAGGGCTACTGGAGCCTGCCTGCCTAGACTCCAGCTGAGGGAGACCTGTGCTGTGCCCCCACCTACCTGTTAGCCTGGGGGCATTAGAGGACAAAGCATCAGGTTTTTCTTGACACTGCAAGTGTTGCTTGCTTTGTAGGCCTGAGGCCTGGAGTTGGGGTATTTGGAGTGAGATGTGGGTGCTGATAAGTGGCCCTGGCAGCCTCAGGGCCCTCACCGGTAATGTGGGCCCACTGCTATTGGGATTTCTGGTTTTACAGGCAGCAGCCATCAAAACTGGTTTCTTTCTGACAGTTTTATAGTTGTCACTATGTCTGTGCTTGCAGTGCAGTGGCCAGAAACCCTGGTTTGCTGGGGATATTGGTTCTGCCTGCCTTGAGGAAGAAGGAGCCTTGCCTTGCAAGCACATAACCCTTCCCCAGGATCACACTCACTGATGACCAGGAATTGGCCAGTAGCAGGGTCCACTTCAAGGACAGGACTGTGAAGGAAGCTCAGGTCTGAGTGGGGAGGTCAGAGCTCACTGAGACCTCTGCAGGATGGGCTCTGCACCCACCCAGTGACCTTTCTCTGGAAGGCCCAGGACATGAAGCCAACCATCAACTCTGGACCTGGGTTTGGCTTCCCCCAGACACTGCACACTAAGCACACCCTGGCATTGGGACCTCTGTTGGAGACACTGACCCCAGAACTCTTTGTGGGTGGGTCTGCTCTTCCCTGCCCCTCACAGTACCTTTATTTTATTTATTTATTTCTATGCAGTGCTGAGAGTTGAACCCAATGCCTCATATGTGCTAGGCAAGTGCTCTTCCACTGAGCCACAACCCCAGCCCAGGTCTTGGGTTTTGATGAGCTTTGTGGAACAGAGCTTACGAGTCCAGAGGAGCCCTGTCTAGTGGGAGCAGAGGCAGTGTGGGAAAGCCTGGGGATGGGGGTGTTTACAAGTCACAGGGAAGGGTCAGTGTCATATGTCCATATCTCTGGTCTGGCCCACCCCCAACCCCTGTAGGCACTGGGCCAGACCAGGCGCTTTACCCACTTTTTTCCTTTTGGTGCTGCTGGGAATCAAACCCAGGACCTCATACATGCTAGGCTTAGAATTTTACCACTGAGCCACATCCCCACATCCCCACATCCTCACATCCCCAGCTGCACCTTCACCTGTAAGTGGCAGAATTTTCCAACCTCAGTGGGGCCTTCCCCCTCAACCCTTTGGTACTGGGATTGAACCTAGGGATCTTCTGCCACTGAGCTGTAACCCGCCTGCCTCAGCTTCCTGGGGTTACTGGCGTGCACTACTGTGTTTGGCTTCTTTTTTGAAGTTCTGGTTTCAACTTTCACTAGATAGTCTCCTCTCTGGTCTTTGCCTTGGAGTGCATGTACCTGCTATCCAAGATAGTTGTCAGAAACTCTTTTCTTGTCTAATTTGAGACAAGAACATTTGAGAAACTCTTGGTTTGGGTGATGCCTAAAGGAGAGGTGTTCCATCCCTCTCACAGTGGGGAAGGGTGATGGACATTCAGAGGGCAGACTTGTTTGGGGTCTCATGGGAAGACAGGACAGACAGATTGTCATTGAGCAGGTTTGACAGCATTTGTAGTCAAGGTGTGTTGGTGGAAAGGCAGAAGCTATATAACTTTAGAAGGAAGGAAGAATTGGAGGGGCAGCTGGCCTGGATTAGACAAACAGGGCACTGAGCAGGCAAACTGAAGGCAGCTGGGGGCCAAACATTTGGTGTGGGGTGTGTGGTAGGTGTAGACTGGAACTGCAGGAGGCGCTGAGAGGGTGAGTGAAGCTAAATCTGAATGCCTAAAGTCATCCAGGTTTGGGACCCAACTCTAAATCCCTAGTCTAGGTCATGTTAGAGCTAATCATGGCATGTGGTTGGTGCTGAGAGAGAAGTTGTTAGGTCCCACCCTCTTCCATCAGTATGGGGTCGGGAGCACAGAGCTTTCTGAGACCTATGAGGAGCAACTCAGTCTGCCCTGGCTGAGAGACCTATTTAATTTGACCCTTGTGGATGGGCTGGCTGTGCTTAGCCAGGCTAGCATGTGCAAACATACTTTCTCTGGCTCCAGGAGCATGAAGCAGCTGTCACATTTTCCTTTCAGTGTAAGCCCACGAAAGAGCACATTTGGGCAGGTTCCTGCACTATTGCTCACTTGTGAAGTCAGTGCCTTAAAAGAGGTGGCAAGTGAATCAGCTCAGGAGTAGGTTCTGTATATGATTATGGAACCCCTTCTTGCCATTCAGCCCCCAGCCTGCCAGAAGGTGGTTTCTGGAACTGGATCTGCCCAGCACTACCTGAGATAAGCCTCCCCAGGGTATTCACCAATAAGGAAACTGAGGCGCTGGGAAGATGGGTACCCTCCTTCAAGAGCACAGAAAGAATCATAGGGCTTCAGTACAAAGCATGCCAAAGGTGTGAGCCAGGGTTTTCTGTAGGGCTCACACACAAGTTCTATCTAACTATCCCACAGAAAACTATGACATGGGAAGTTGTATGAGAGCTCAGCAACTTATTTCTTTCTTGTCCCCTATTGAACTCTGGAGTAGTTAGACCTCAACTTTCCCAGTCTTGTTTCCCTTGACCGGTTGGGACATGAAGGCTGGCCTGGCTTAAAGTGGTCCCTTTAAAAAAGTGCCTGTGTTCTGGATCCTGCTGTGGAATGCCTGCTGCCTCCCTGCAGACAGGCATGCTGCGCTGTCCTCCATCCTGTCTCTGTGAGGGTTAACAGCACTTCAGCTTGTTGTCTGGAACCGGTTCAGACTGGTTTTCTGGAAAGTGCTTTGTCTCTCAGACTGAATCCTGGGAAGGGTCATGTGGAGCCCAGTGATGTCACGGGATCAAAAACTGATTCAGCTATTTTTTCCTTCTTTTCTTTCTTCTTTAAATCAAGATATGTGTGTGCTGCAGGTACAGGGTGGTGGCACATTGATGGGCCAGGCCTCATTTTCCTCAAAGTGTACCATTCTGGCAACTAGAGGGTTAAAAGTCATCCTCACTCCCTGCCTCCTGGAGGTAAGCAGGGAGTGAGGAGACCTCCATTCACTGAAGTGGAGCATCAGGGGTCAACCCATTCACTTTAGTGAAGGGTTGGGCTGGCCCTACCTTGCTTCTAGGACAGTGTGATTATGCCCTTCCTGATTTCCACATGTCTCTAGTCCAGTGCAGATGCTCACAATCCCTTAGGTCTTATTTCCCATCTAGAAAAATTTTCCTCTATTTTCTCTTCATTTGTCAGTGCACAGAATTCCTCCTGTCTGATAAGCAGCCCCCAGCCATTGTTTTTGTTCAGCTACCCACAGGTTTCTAGCCCCTGAGAGACTGAGATTAAGCTTGCCCCTCCCCCCAAGCCATAAAGAAATATCCTGGAGATGCTTTTGCAGACCTGCATTTGTTGTATGTTGTACCTACTTCTATCACCATACAGCAAGGAATACAGTCAAAGCCAATACCCTGAAAAGTTTTTTAAAGGTAGTAACTTCCTTATGCCCAGTTAAAATGCTGTGTCTTCTCCTCCCCTCAAAGTTCAGAATGACTGAGGAAGCATGCCGAACACGAAGTCAGAAACGAGCCCTTGAACTGGACCCTATAGAGGATGATGTGGAGAGCAAGAAAATGAAAATGGAGAGAGGATCGTCAGCTTCAGACTTAAACTCTGATGGAGATACAAGGGTGACACCTGAGCCAGGAGCAGGTCCAGCCCAAGGATTGCTGAGGGCAGCAGAGGCCACCACAATGGGCAGAGGTGATGGACTGGTGAGCGACGGGCCAGTGGATATGCGAACCTCACACAGGTGAGTGGGAGGACCTGGAGGGAGATGTGCTGGAGCCAAAGAGAGATTCATTGTAGAGGCAGAGGTGAGCCACACTCTAGGACCCAAGCAGGCTTGGAGGAAACACCTTTACTGATTTGTCATACACATATCTGTAGGTTCCACTCTGACATCACTTCACTGGCAGCTGTGCCATCCTGGCCAAGGAACCTCCCTCCTCCCTCCTGGGGTCTTGGATCCTGGGGAATAGGGTATGAGAGGAGGAGGTGGATGAGGGTGTTATCCCTGTCAGATAACCTTACTGTCAGCATATTTTTTTTAAACATGTACATGTATCACATCAATCATCTCAGTGCTTTTGGTTTATAGGAAAACTTGAGTTTGTCATGTGGTTTTTATCTCCCTGCTCTTCAGATCTGTGGGTCAGGAGGCTAGGGAATCTACACTCTGCCTTAATCACTTGGTATTGGAGTTGGGAGCCCAGCCTGGGGTTCTCCTCTTCAGAGGAAGGGGCCTCTCAGTTGCTTGTCTTGGTGGCGCCTGAGTTCAGCTTGTTGTTTTTGTTCCTTCTATGTTATCACTAATTATGTTGGGTGACTTTGCCTGATGCTTAGCTCTTGTGAGGACTCAGAGCCTAAAAGCAATCAGACTCCTCATTTCTTCATTTAAATAAATTCCCGTTTTTCCCTGCAGGGAGAGATTCAGACCTAGCATCTGTTCTTGTATCACCCCTCCCCTCAGAGCTCCCTAGAGTGTTCACAATCAGATGCCCACTTCAGGCCCTAGCCCTTTGACAGTCTCCTCTATAACCCCTGGTTCATCTTCCCTTACTGCTAACCAAAGTCTTTCCCTTGTGTGGGGCCTGTCTTTCCACATCTCTTTGCCCAGGGACAACCATTGCAGAGTAGGGGAAACTGCTACCTTCCTCGCCCTCCCCATCTGTGTTGACTGACATAGGGTTACCAGACTGTAGTCTTTGTGCTAAATTCATTTTGGAGTCCAGAGTGTAGGGATCCTAAGAACTTAGGAGATCGTCTAGCCTGGTGTCTCTTGGCTTTTAGAATCCATATCTATGTGAGATAAGTGGGAAAATCCAACACCCTTCCTGTTGGGAAAGCATCTTTGACTTTAGGGACATGCATTGTATTCTTGCCATCCAAAAAAAGCTTTTCTGACTGCTTTCTGCCACCCTGCTTCTAAACCCAGGACTTCATTTTCAGTTCTGAGAATAAAAAGATGAATGTATAAATGGTGCAAGACTCCTTACCCTCCCTTTAACATAGTCTGTTTTCAGATCAATGAGCAGCCAGGGGTGGGTTTGGAGTCAAGGCATGAGAAACCGGGATATGGGAAACTGCCTGGTTCCTCTTACTCCAGTCTGCATTTTCTCCCATAATCACCATGCTTCTCTGCAGAGTAGGTCCATGAAATGTGAGGGAGAGGTTTACTGTCAAAAGAACTCATAGTTGAGAATCAAACCCAGATCTTTCTTTTGTCAAAGCCCAAGGCTACACGGGACCTCTGAGTTTCTTGGTTCCTTTTCCCAATGGGCCATTAATTTCCAAACTAAGGTCACTTAGACAATATATCATTGTTAACCGAATTTAGTCTGGGTGTTTTTCTTTTTTTTTAAAGAGAGAGTGAGAGAGGAGGGAGAGAGAGAGAATTTTTAATATTTTTTTTTAGTTCTCAGCGGACACAACATCTTTGTTGGTATGTGGTGCTGAGGATCGAACCCGGGCCGCACGCATGCCAGGCAATCGCGCTACCGCTTGAGCCACATCCCCAGCCCTGTTTTTCTTATATATAAAGGATATGAGGATGCAGAGAACAGAGATTAGCCCAGGAAGTGGGCAAGGGTCCTCCTAGAGCACTAGAGACATTCCAGGTCTGTTGTGTAGCAGTGTGAGAACAGGGAAATGGCCCAGCTCTGGAGACTAGCAGGCAAAGCTGGGGTCAAGCCATGCTCCCTGACTATTCCTCAGTGGTTGACCTTAGCCTGAGTTCCTTTGCTGGTAAAATGGGCTTTGCAGGTTGATGGGGTGACCAAGGACTGTGATACTCATCAGCTTTGGCACTTAGAGTGTAAGGCAGGAAGCCCACCTAGGCAGTGTTGATGATAATTTCCCTTCAATCTGTAGCTTTACTCAGAATGAGATGTCTCAGGTAGTCTAATGTACCCTTCACCCCAAGTTCTCACATTGAGCATCTTGTCTGGTTCTTTGGGCAAGTCCATTTGTGAGGTTTTGACAGAATCGAGGAGAACAAGGGTGGGGGCTGGGATTGTGGCTCAGTGGTAGAGTGCTCGCCTAGCATGCATGAGGCTCTGGGTTCGATATTGTGTATACCTAAAACAAACAAATAAGTAAATATTTTAAAAAAGAGAAAGAAAAAAGGAGAACAAAGGATCATGTCTAGCCCAGGACCATTCTAAAACTGTAATCCGTTCTGGAGTAAGTGGCTCAAGTCAGTCTTTGAATCCCTGTTGGATGTGTCTGGCTGGGAACACCCTTTGAGAGACCTCCCTTCAGCACATTGTGGCTGTGCCTTGGTTTTTCAGGTAGCATTTAATTTCACAGCTTTATCTAACCACAGTGTGGGTTGGGTGACAGTCTTTGACTACAGATCCAGCATGTCAATTTTAAATTGTCCTGCCAAGATGATTTAATTTTCATCTTTTAAAATTGAAATATAGCAAGAATAGTGAAAGGTAAACCACACAAATTAAGAAACAGAACATTGCTGGCACTCCTGAAGCGCCCCCCTTGTGCCCACTTCCAAGGGTAATCACTTTCTTATCTCCTCCCCTTCCTCTCTGCACCAACATTCTCACCTTCACTCTTGGACTAGGGATTGAACCCAGGGCATTCTAGCACTGAGCTACTGAGCTATATCCCAAAGTGGGGAGTGCCCCCCTACCCCTGTGCCTTTTGAGACGGGGGTCTCACTGAGTTCCCCAGTCTGGCCTTGAACTTGGAATCCTTCAACCCCAGCCTCCCAAGTCACTTTGATTGTAAACATATGCCATCGTGTCCAGCTGGTATTCACTTTCTTGTGATTACTCCCAACAGCATAGATTAGTTTTTTTCTGCTTTTGTAGGATTTGTATAGTGTATGCCCTTGCTTTCTTTCAGCATTGTCTTTGTGAGATTTACTTGTGTTGTTGTATATAGCAGTGATTCATTTTTAGTGCTTTGTAGTACAGTTGGTCTTTTGTGGGTTCTGTATCCACAGAGTCAACCAACATCAGATCAAATATTTGGGCAGGGATTAGGGGTGTAGCTTAGTGGTATAGTGCTTTCCTATCATGCACAAGGCCTTGAGTTCAGTGCTCAACACCAGTATTGCATTGAGACATAGACTTCTTTTCTTGTGGTTATTTTCTAAACAATGCAGTGTAACTGTTTTACATTTACATAGTATTTAAACTGTGTTAAGTATTAATGTTCTAGAGATGATTTAAAGTGTGTGTGTGTGTGTGTATGCATAGGTTCTATGCAGATACTAATATATCATTTATATAAGAGACTTGATGGGCTGGGGTTGTGGCTCAGTGGTAGAGCATGTGTGAGGCACTGGGTTTGATTCTCAGCACTGCATAGAAATAAATGAATAAAATAAAGGTCCATCAATAACTAAAATATATAATATATATATATATATATTTTTTTTTTTAAGAGATTTGAACAACTTCAGATTTTGTCATCCATAGGGAGTTCTGGAACCAGTCCCCTCTACCAATACCAAGGGTTGCCTGTTTCTTTTCTAGAATTTCTTTTTGGCTCTTTTTCAAAATTATGCCTTTAAAAAAAAAAAAAAAAAAGCTGTCTTACTACCATCTTCTGACCCAATTTGGGTATTTTAAAGGTTAGAGATGGAATGGTTTCTAGGAGAGGGAATTTCCCTTTTCTTTAGCAACTTCAATTCACTAGCTAATTTCCTAAAGAGGTGTATATATATTTATGTGTGTATTCATATATTTGTGCATACATACATATATATGCATGTTTGTATGTATAGAGGGATGATTTGGAGCATGCAGAGGCAGATAAAATGATGGGATCAATGGCTGTGTTGTTTTCCCTGACTCCTGTCTAACTTGGTTCTTTGCTCTTCTTTTTGTAGTACTAGGGATTGTTGAACCCAGGGGCATTCTACAACTGAGCTACAACCAGCCATTTTTAGTTTTTATTTTGAGACAGGATCTTACTACGTTACCTCAGCTAACCTCAAACTTGTGATCCTCCTGCCTCAGCGCCCACAGAGCTGGGATTACAGTAGGTGTGTACCACCACACCTGGCTAACTTGATAGTTTTTTCAACTTAAGCTCCTAACATATGTTTTGTATTTAAAATTAACTGGAGGACAACTTTCAGTTTTGAGCAAGGAGATCATCAAATCCTCTTTCCAAAACATGCAGTGATAAAGCAAATCGGAAGTGACAAAACCAAAACAAAATCACTTCAGCACTCTGGAAATTAGCCAGAGGCACATAACAATCTGAAAGTGTTTATATTTAAAAAAAAGACAAACAAACAAACAAAAAAAAACCCTGCTAAATTCTGGGTGAGAACTGTGAGATTCTATGGCAATTGCCAGGGACTATATTCCTATATTTTCTCCTTGCTACTTGATGAGGAAGTTTTGCCCAGCCCATGCAGGTTGAGGACCAGTAGCTTTTCTGTAGGTGTGAAAATGGGAAATTGTTCAGTTTGGAGTGGAGAACAGCATCCCTGCCTCCGTGCCCCTTGTCCTTGTTGGTCAAAGTGACGGTCTTGGAGATGAGTAAATGATGAGGTCAATGAGTCTATTAGCCAGGTTTGGTTATGTTTAGAGTAAGACAAAAAAAAAACTATTTGAAAAGTAATGGCTGAAACATAGTTGAGGAGGAAGCTCAACAAATCCTGAGTGGCAAAAATAGAGAGATTTATACAAGAACACATCATTGTGGAACTGTTAGAAGTCAAAAAAGAAAAGAAAATCTTGAAAATAACGGGAAAAAACCCAGTTATCACATACA